GGGAGCGAGAAGGGAACTGGGATTGTCATGTAAATCAATCTTGTTCCTAATTCAAATAAAAAAAGCCCTGATCCCTACCCTAGATCTATCACTGCATTAATAACTATAGTAATGGGGCCCCAGAAATTTGTATGTTAACAAGTCCTACCCAGTCTATTCTGATATATGTCATGGTTGAGAACTGATAGTGTAAGAAAATCCCATCTTCCTAATGATCTGCATCTCACAATGCTCCAATTTATAAGACCTCAGATCTAGTGTAAGGCACCACTACTCTTCTCATTGTCTCATAGTCCTAGGGACAATGGTAGCTTCTTGATGTTATTAAGAATGTGGATTGACATTTTGTATCTCATTTGGCCTTTCATTTTCTCCCATCATCTCTGTAACTACTTCTGTATATATTTTCTTTGTTTGAAATACCACTATGGACTGAATGTGTAGCCCTCTAGATTTACATGTTAAAACTGTTACACTAATGCATTGACATCTGATTACGGGGACCTTGAAATTTCATTGGATTGAGAGGATATCATGAAGGCAAACACTTATTTATTTATTTTAAACTATAGATGCATAATCACTATAAATGGAGTCAGAAAGAGATGGAAGTAACTTGAAGGATGCAGCCCTCCTTACTTACTCACTTTTTCTCCACTTGAACCATCACCTCTTTTTTCTATGGCAACCTCTAGATTATGCCTCCAATTTTGCACCCCAACCATTTGCTCCCCTGAACTACAAGAGTCAATGTAGTCTCTGTATCATCACTTCTGGTGGGGTGTCTCTTGCTCCATTATTTTTTTATATACTGCCTACCAAGAGTCAGCGGTTGAAGATGTGGGTTCAATGCTAGAGTTCTTGTTTAGCACTTGCAAGATACTGGGTTCAATCTGCAGTAACGCAAGAAAAATTTCTGTATTACTGTCAACATATCTAATCATTTAGGAGGAATGTCCCCATCCTACCACGTGAGCAGTAGCAGAAATATGCTGCTACAGGTTGGACATCTCTAACCTACAAATAAAAAAATCCAAAGTGCCTCCAAATCTGAAAGGCTCTGCATATTAACACAAGACTACAAGTAAAAATTTCTATATGTCATAATGTCATAACAGGACACAAAATGCAGGCACACCAAATCTATCTTATGAAATGACCTTCAGTCTAAGTTTAGGTGTACATAAACACAAATGTTGAGTTTTGTGTCTACAATGAAATCTCATCTTATCATGTATATGCAAATACTCCAAATTCAGAAAAAAAATCTAAGTTCTAATCCACATCTAGTACCAAGCATTTTGGATCTGAAATGTTTAACAAATATCTCTAAAACCACCGAAGAAGTTTTAAAAGTACCTATTTTGCATACAGGAACAAGTATGGAACAAAGAGATGGAGTATGAAAACAAATGTGAACCAATTCAGAATATCATCTCTGCTTGTTAATTATGAGTCACTGTACAAATCACCGACTATGGAAAATAGAGGCCACTTAGAGAACTTCTCTGAGATGACAGATCATTATTAATCTTGATGTTAGTCAATGTCAAAGTGACCTATGTACAGTTTCCAACAGCAAATTCTCAGAACAGAGGCAGCACAGAAACACCAAATAGAAGGGCAGATGGGAAGAGGTTGGAAGCAATAAGCCTTCTCTATCCATCCTGAGCCCTAAATAGCCTGTCAGATTCTAGCCTCTAACTTCGAAGGCAGTATCTGTATTCACATTAGTTCCACCATGCCAGATGTTCAGCATGGCCTTTTTCCTCTCTTCCCTACCTGGAGAAATATTTCTTATCCTTTGGGATTCTGATCACAGGTCACACATGGTGGTGGTAAAGCATTTGGTAAATGTCTAGAAACTTTAAAGTGCCTACTATGTGAGAGGCACTATGCTGCACTTCAAAACTACAAAAGCTATTTCACTAAGTTGTGGCAAGATTTGTGGAGCTGTAAAAACAAACAAAACAAAACAAAACAAAAACAAAAACAAAAACAACAAAAAACAAAAAAAACAAAAAACACTAGTCATTTCAAAAGAATAGTATAAGCTCTTTCTTTGATAAAAGTATCTCTAGGGAAAATCACACTCCTTCTCCCCCAGACATACAGACAGACTCCATTTCCCAGGCTCTCTTACAGTTAGATGTGTCACAAGGCTGAGTCATGTCTTAGGAAATGTTGACAGAATTGACTTATCCCACTTGAAGGCCTTTCCACAAACACCTATACAATCCTTCACCTACTCTCTTTCTTTAGCCACCAGCTGAATGGAGAGAGTTCCACAATCCTAAAGGAAGGTCAAGCTACAAGACAGAACTATCCTGTCATATATTTTACAGGATCATAGGGCAATGAGAGTTTATAGACACTTTTTACAGCACCTGGCACATACAGTAACTATGGAGACCCTAGAAGACCTTTCCTCAATTAGACTTTTCAGATTACACAAGTGAGGTCCAAATATGATAGATCAGCAGGGAATTCAGTCCAGAAGTACATTTTTTTGCTCAGCACAATGCAAGGACCTAGAAAACAAAGGCTAAGAAGGGGAATGGAAGGAAGGAGAGAGGAGGGGGTTGGAAGACAGACACATAAAATGGGGACAAAAGCAGGAAAGAAGACAGACTCAAAAAGTAATGTAATCAGCAATGTGAAACCTTACTATGACATGGAAAGTGCTGTCAATCTTTTCAAGACACATATAGTATCTTAAAAAGCTCATAAGTGTTCGTGGAACTCCCATTTTTTGATGAGTTGGTTGTTAGAAAACTGTAAAACATCTTGGTTTATGTTTATGCTTAAGTGAAATTTTCTATGAACATAACATCTGCAGGAGCCTTCTATCTAAATGTTGTTCTACAGTTGTTCATTGTGTTCAATTTGGGCAAGTTATCAATTTAACATGAACTACATGAAAATCTCCCTCCAGTTTTTCCTCCTGCAGTTGCTACAAAAAGTCCCATTTATAAAATACAATCACTACCAGAGTTTTATGGCCCTGGTTATAAATTAAGCTTTGGAAAAAATCAAATTAATACAATTTCCAAAAGTTCCTACTATCTTAGAATGAAGTTCAGAGTCACCAGAAGAAACTGACTCCCTAGCTCCTGAACAATGAGTACACAGTGTGGCAAATACCTCCTTTTGGTAGAAACCAGCATGTGAATCCAAAATGTGCTCAGCAACACAATGGCATATGGAGAAAGAAGAGTACTTGGGTTTCATTTCCTAGTACAGGTTGAGCAACCCCAATGGAGGAACTTGAAACCCAAAATGCTCCAAAATCTACAACATTTTAAGCAGTAACTTTACACCATACATAGAAAAGTCCACACCTAACTCCTGTGAAAAGTCCCAGTCAAAATATGCATATGTTACAAATATTATATAAAATTGTAAGTCTACATGCATATGTCATACATGAAATACAATGAATGTTGTATTTAGACTTGGATCCTATTACCAATATATCTCATTAAGTATATGTCCACTTCTGGGCCCATGTTCCTTGAATAAGGGATGCTTAACCTCTAATTTTAGAGCTATGAAATGTTTACAAAGTAGTTTTATAATACAGTGATCCCTCCCCATTTTCCTCATCCCCAAAAAAGAGAATCATAAAACTATACTGGGATGCCTGTTTAAAATTAAGATTCCTGGGACCAGAGAGATGGCTCAGTTATTAAGAACACTAGTTGCTCTTCCAGAGGACCCAAGTTGGGTTCCCAGTACGCATGTGTCAGCTCACAACTGACTATGATTCCAGTCCCGTGGAGATCCAATGCCCTCCTCTTCCCTCCACGGGTCCCAGGCACCCTCGTGGTACACACTTGCATATACATGTAGACAAAACATTCATAATACAAAATGAAATATAAATTTCTGCCCCCCCTGCAGACCTACTACACAAGACTCTGTGGAGGAGATGGTGTTTGCATATGTATTTTCAACAAGGGCCTAAGGAGATATGGCAGGTAGCACTTGCCCTAGATAGGGCACATTGGAATAGAAAAGCTTACCATCACATAGGATTACCCACTGTCAGATTCAATTTTCACTTAGCAAATCTCTAAAGGATCACTATTTCTCCCTAGATGGTAAAGTTATTGTTTCTTCTGTGATTTTCTTTTTTTTTTTTTTTGTATGTTATCAATGAACATGGAAGATATCTTAAACAGCTGCAGCTTTTTTGAAATCTAGATGTTTCTATGGGGTAGAAGTAGGCATTAGATGCTAAATTTTATACCTAGGATTTCTGTAAGCACCTGTAAAAAGAAACTTAATGTTTGGAAACATGGACAGTATCTGAATCATAAAATATTTGTGTTTTTACCATAGCACAGCAATTAGTTTTAGTGAATTGTTTTTCTAAACGTGTTCACCTTTCATTTTCTGTATCAAATCTAAATGGTTTAATGAGCATTTTTAGGACATTTTCACTGTAGTCCTAAGCTAGCAAAGCTACAAACCCTAAACATTATTTAAAATAAGAAACGTGATCATTCCTAAAGTTGTTTCATCCATCCAATTTTCCTACAGACCTCAAAGTATTCTTGTCTTTTCCACACAGGTAATTTGGTCTGTTGCCAGAAAATGACTTGCTGACAAAAAATAAACAGAAAGAACAAAATGCAGCAAAAGACCAAGAATGGACTGGAGGGAGTTTTTATATAGAAATCTCAGGAAATACATCATCACTAACTAGTTCCCAAAACTAATAAACCATTTAGGTTCTCAGAGAAAACGTATGGAGAAACAAGAAATTAGGGTAAATAAGGGACAAAAACCATTGTGTAGTTGTTGTCATCTCGGCAAGTGAATTACCCCAGACAATGATGTGGGCCAATTTATCACAAAGGGCACTGTAATTTTCCCTGTGACTGTTTTGCTGTAACTTTCTTTAAAAGCAATTTTCAAAGCACATGAAAAATGGAGACCTTTCTAATTTATAGAGAAAACAAAAGCCACAGTAAAATGCACATGGAAGTTCTTACTTCTTCCTCTCAGAGCCTAATATCCTAAACAAATCTTTAAAATATTGTGGGACGCGAACCACCACATTCTCCGAGGGGCCGATGTCTTTCAAGTGTGGGTAGAGTCTGGTATCAATGACCTTCTTGATATAGCCCAGCCAGTCAAACTGAGGATAGAGAAAACAAATGAAACCTATGTTAAGGCAGCAAGTAAGCAGGAAGGCATTCAAGTAGAGTAGGCTGAGCATAATCTATACCATCCAAATCATTAACGATGAAACTGCTCATCATTTGCTTATCCAGAAGCTGAAGCCAAATCATTGCCACTCAGACCTATGGCTTTCATTACAAATGGAGCCTGTGTTCTGTATCACAAACTTCTGGAACAGTAGACACTCTCATGTTGTAATATATGATGCACTCCCTCGGCTGCTCCAGCCCTCTTCACCCACCATCTTTCTATCTTGTTCCCTTAGCCTTACTTCTCTCCAAGCCCTTCTCTTCTGTGAGTTTAGTTCACTCCTCTAATCCCTTACTCTCCTTCCCTCAATACTCTCCCTGTAACTCTCATGTTCCCCCTCTTCCTCCCCTAAAGTCAGATACAGATCCCTTAGCACACTATTGGTCTTCTCTTCTGTGTGACCTCTCTTATTCCAGGAGGGGCAAAAAGCCACAACATAATAACCCACCTCCATTCTATAGAGCATCGTGCTTCTCTAAAACAATCACTGCTTCGTATTTTGTATTGGCTTCACTAAAGGCCATTTGCCAACTCTTTCCCCTTTTTCTGCCTCCACTACTAGTGAACCTCCAAACCAGTTACTTACTTGTCTAGCAACCACTTCCTGACCTCTGGCCCCATAGCAGGGATGGTCACATGACCAAATTCTAGTCAGAATTAAAATCAAGTCATCTAGGAACATTCTGAAAAGGGACTTTTCTGTTTACCCAGGTAAAATAAACAAGTCAGACGGGACCATGGGTCCTTCCGCATTTGCCTTGCCCTAATGTGGAAGAGCTACAGTGGTCACTTTATAATCATGTTATCAAAATGAAGTAAAAAAGGCCTGAGGAGGGTAAAGTGTCAAGATAAGGTCTATACAATGTTAAACAGCTGAACAAACACCAACTAGTGCCCATAGCTGTGTTGTAAGAATGGCCTTCCTGTTTTAAGCCATTGTCAGAAAGCTCTTAGTATTCTCTACATCTGAGGAAATCCCACTGCACACACAAGGGTACATTATGTGATAATTGAAAAGAAAGATAATCAAATGATGAATAGTAAGATTTACGAGTTACAAGGCTAACTTTTATACACAGATGAAATATAATCCCTTGTAAAATATCAGGTAACAGAAAATTTTCTTGCAGAGAGTTTTCACCAACCTGGGGAATCATAGCACTGAGTTCTGAGATGTTCATTTTATTATACATAGCCTCACTGGTTCGGTTTTCATGTGGAATCATTATCTGTCAAAAAGAGATTTGGGTTATTTTTTCAAATGAATAATTTATTATTGCATGACAGCTTTTCACATGTGCCAAAACATCTGTATATTATTATCAACTTTTTCAAGACTTTGGTGTGATGCCCAGATGTGGAGAAAAAATGAAAAAAACAAGCAAACAGCATTTTAGACAGGATAAAGAAAATAAAAAGAAACTTAGATATCCTCTTCAGTGGGAAATATTGTCCCCAGTACAAAAAGAATTTCCCAGAATGCCCTTCTCCTCTACCATGTGAATGGTCCAAGTCCATCGCTGGCTCAGTTTTGAGAACCAAGCTGAAGTTGCACAACTAAGGTCAACATTCCATGTTTACCTATGGTATTCTGACAATGACCTCAGTTCATTCACCTCTAGGGGATGGTCAATGACAAAAAGGAAGCTATGTGCATATCATTGGCACCTGTGGATAATTTTTTTGACCTTCTGATTTCCCACTGCTAGAGGTATGAATTTGGTCACCGCCTAGGCAGACAGTTCAAAGCTTCTAGCCTCTTCCATATTTAGTCTAAAAACTGCAATAATGACTCTTCCTCAAGAGTCATCTTAACCCCGTCCATTGACCAACCATAGCTCCCTTACCCATATTATTATTTTGCTTTAGGGCCTTCTTTCTACTCCCCCGCATCCATCTAGCCATCTCCCATAACTGTCACCTACAACTCTCCTACCCTCATGCCTCTTGCCCATTATCACCATCTCCATGGCTGGCACTTAACTGAAGACTTTGTCTGAGGTTTATGTTCTCTAACAAGCCTTTGCAATTGAACTCTACTTCAGGACAACTCCATGGACAAGTCCTCTCTCTACTTGTTCAGGCTCTCAGACAGAGATAGGGTACATGCATATTTTGTAGCAATCTTTACTCATTCAGATTTGATAAGGCTTTTTTTATTTCTGAGTCTCATAAACTTCCCTAAGACTATGCATCTGGGTAATTTGGGATGTGACGAGTCACCTGAAGACTAAGGGAATGAGAGGAACATTCCTACTAAGAAAAAACACCATCACAGATATTTCAAGGAAAAATCACAAAGGCTAAATGAAAGGCAGTTGCCCCTCTCTTCTAAGTCCTTTAGTGTCTAATTGTCTCCCTCCCCACTCTCCATTGCAGAGGTGACCTGCCCCTTTCCTTTCCATTTCCTTGTTTTTTTTTTTTTTTTGAATCCTAAAGCATTGCCTCAGAGGATTTCTACATGTCTCTCCCACCCTCCTCCTTTCTCAACTGAGAGCCCAAGCTCCAGCTGAAACCCTTTGGCCTCAAAGCTGTTTTCAGCTCTGTAGCAGCTGCTCCCCTCCACACAATGGATTTGTCACTTCATTTACCCTCTCAGCAATTCGGTCTTGCCTCAGCCCAGCTGTTTTTAGATTTCTTTTTGGTCTAACTCTCTGGCTCAAGGCATGGCCTTCCATGCTATTTATCACACCTTCAGTTCAAATTAGTACTCTACTCTGGGCCTCCTATTTGTTTTGGAAGGGAATCCAGACAGCTTGTAGACATGGCTTACAGGCACATCTGCAAGAAGCTTCACAACATTCATGGGACATGCAATAATAAACTTTTTAAAGTATTCATTAAGAATACGTTTTACACTGAGATGAACTCTGGAATCCAGTTGCAGAGAGGAAGGACCAGGCTGGAGAAACCCACAGAAACAGCTGACCTGAACAAGGGGTTGCTCATGGATCCCAGACTGATAGCTGGAAAACCAGCATAGGACTGTTTCAGACCCCCTGAAGGAGGAAATCAGTTTGGAGGTCTGGGCAATGTATGGGGCCACTGGTAATAGTGGGTCAGTATTTACCCCTACTACACAAATGGACTTTGGGAGCCCACTTCACATTGAGGGATATTCTCTCAGCCTAGACACACTGGGGAGGGTCTAGGCCCTGCTCCAAATGATATTACAGACCATGAAGATCCCCCAAAGAAGGCCTCACCCTCCCTGGGGAGCAGAAAGGAGTTGGGATGGGGGGGATCGGTGAGGGGCAAGGGAGGAGAGGAGGGAGAGGGAACTAAGATTGACATGTAAAAGAAGCTTGTTTCTAATTTAAATTTAAAAATGGAGATAAAGAATACATTTTATAGGACTTCTTAGGAATGGATAAATGAGTTGTATGATCTTTTAGGGTTGCAGTAGTGGATAAATGTGTGGTGTTTTCCGTGTTTAGACATCTTATATTTTCGTTCTCAGATTCAAGAAAAAGCAACTACTTTGGACCAAAATCCCATGGCCCAGAGAACTGGGTCAGTAGAACTTAAGCAACAGCTGAGGCCAGCACTGGTCAGTATCTGCTGGTCCGTTGGGCTGACCCAGCCCATTGGCATCACTACCTGGGGTTGGAATAGCAGGATAGGGGTTTGAAAGGTGGCTTCCTACCCAGATAATCAAAAAGCTAATGTAAACAATTAAGCCCTACCATGTCAGGTTTATCAAAAATAATGTGTTGTGGTTTTACCCAAGATTTCTCCACTTTCCTCAAGGCTGGAAACAAATGTCTGTTGAAATTTTAAATAGAATCATTTGCATTTTGTAAAAACAATAAAAGAAAATACGTTTTAATACAGAGTGAAGTAGAAAGACGCAGGGAGAAAATATTAAGGACAGCATTATATGCCCTAGAGTAAACACAGGATTGATGAAAGAGTTTTCAAGAATGAACTAGAAGAGCACATATGCCAGAGTGCCTGTAAGTCAGAGAATAACTTTGGACACTGTTCCTCACCTACTTTGTTTGAGGCAGGATCTCTCGTTTTTTGTCTGCTACTGCACTGTGTATACCAGTCTAACTGGTTCCTGAGCTTCCCAGAATTCTCTTGTTTTCGCCTCCCATCTCCAAGTAGAAGCACTAAAATTATAGACAGGTACCACTACTCCTGGCCTTACATGAATTCTGATCCTTATGCTTATACAATAATTGCTTTAACCTACTGAGTCATCAACCTAGCCCCCAGAAAGAGCCTTTCTGTTTCAAGTAGGAAGTTAAAGATATATCATCACTGTAAGGGGAGACCAAATTCCTCAACCCTACCCTTCATCCCAACTCCATATCTCAACATACTACCACCAGTTTACAAAATACAAAACCAATAAATACTTGGACCTCAGAGTTTTTAGCAACTTCCATAATAAAAAATCACTAAGGTCTCCCACAAGTAAATGTCACCATATTTATTCTCTCTGAACATGAGAACTTTTAGGGATTTTATACATTAGTTCTTCTAGAAAACACTCATTCTATAAACAAAGCCATTTAGGATTTACCATTCTCCAACAAATTGGTTCCCCCCCACCCCCATTTTGTCTCTAACATGAGCCAGAAAGAATTTAAGGCCCAGAGGGAGAGGGAGAGGGAACCTAACACTAGGCACCACTGGGTGTGGTTGCACACACCTTTAATCCCATCACTCCAGGAGGCAGAGGCAGGTAGGTATCTGCATTCCAAACTATCCTTATCTACCTAGGGAGTTCCAGGACAGCTGGAGTTACACAGTAAGATCTTGTCTTGAAAAAAAAGGAATGTAAAAGTAAAGAATGGTAGACACAAAATAGCACCAACAAGGCAGCCTTAAAGTGTGTCCTATACAATTTCTGCATCAAACCTCACATGCAATATTGATAGATAAATTTCTCTGAGATCAAAATTTATCGGTCACATGGAGTAGGAATAATACAAAAAAGCAGGTTGGGTTAAAAATTACCTTCCAGGGGCCTCACACTTTCTACGGATCAGAAGAGGGATGGGAGGGAGGTCGGTGGGGGGCATGGGAGGATGGGAGGGTGAGGGAACTGGGATTGATATATAAAATAAGATTGTTTTTAATTTAAATTAAAAGAGATTATGTCCATAAAAATTTACCTTCCAGAACTGAGGGTGTAGCCTAGTAGTGGTGACATACTTGACATGTGTGATGCCCTGCATTCACCTCACAGCACTAGAAAAAAAGGAAGGAAGGAAGGAAGGAAGGAAGGAAGGAAGGAAGGAAGGAAGGAAGGAAGGAAGGAAGAAAGGAAACCCAACTTTCAATGAAATAAGTATTTATTGAACAGCTGTCTTCTCTTTGAGTCCTATAAGACTTTCTCTGAGAAAACAGGTTTCCTTGCTGGCATTCTTTAATCACAGTAGAGTAGCACATAGATATCGACTAGGCTTAAATCAGAAGTAGAAGGAATGAGGAGCTCTTAATTCCTGTAGTGGTTCTTCTTACTTCCCATAGAAGGTGCAATTACTATCTTGAACCCAGAAGGCAATGACACAGATGGTTACCATTTGATTGAAATTGATACTGTATTGTTTACAAAATAAGGAAAAGAAAAGGGCATGGCAAAAAGAAAAGAAAAGGTTTGCAACTCAGACTTACCTCGGCTATCTTAATTTCCAGTCTAAGCACTGACTTCATGTCATGTTCAGCTCGAGAGCTATTAGCTCCCAAAAGCACAGCAGTGTCCACCATGAACTTATAAAGGGCATCCCGATACTGTAAGAGATAAAGAAGCATGTGGCCATGACAACAGCATGGTAGGATGTATGTTTTAGAGATACAGAAGAGCAGAAACAGTAGGTGGAAATAAGCTTCCTTCGTTTTCACCCTGTACTCAGAGTACGATGCCAGCATTATGCAATGCCAGCCACCTACCTGCCACTTTGAGAGGAAAAATAAGAGTGATGAGTGCACACGCACTATTTCTGTGGCAGATAGATTTGCCCAGGCATCAAACATCAAGCAAACTAGTTTTCTGGTAACTGGTGATATTATGGATAAAAGAAACATCTCCAAATGAGTCCAGAATAGAAAGGTAAAGGTCAGGTGTCTCCTTCACAGGCAAGTGATGCTTTAATAAAGTAATGGGAAAGAACTGTGTCTAAAAGCAGAGGACCTGATCCATGAACACTAATGCGAAGTGTGATTTATTCCCATCCAGCTCCATTCACCCAGCTTCACACTAAGAAATAAAAGATGATTATAGTGAATGGAGTCCTGTGTCTTTTCAGTTTCAGTTTCCATGGAGTTGTCTTCCTTGGCTCAGTGGGGAAAGGAAGAAATGATGATGAGAAACCTAGCAACTACCAAATATGAAATTTCATCTCTAAGGTATACTGTGACCCTGAAAGCTATTCTTACTGTGTGACTCACCTTAAGACCTATATGTTTCTTGGTAGATGGCCAGTCTTTTAATAAATGAAATTCAGTCAGCAAGCCTGGCTAATAGTCTTAATTGGAAAGAATGTTTTGCCCTTCCCAAGTCTACTAAAAAGTGTTCAACTAGCTCAGTACAGATACAAGGTGGCTTGCTCAGCAGGCTGTACATGATGGGGGAAGGCATACAAATGAAAAACTAAATAATGCTTGAGACTGTTACTCAGTATGTGCTCTAGTGACGAAGATAAACATGAAACACCTGTAACATGAGGCAAGCAAAAATGTTTCTTCATAAAGCCACTGCATGCATGAAAGCTGAAGAACTGGAAGATTACAGCCCAGAAATTTGGAAGCATACAATTTGAGAGATGTAGGGTTTGGGAATAGTAAGAGATAGATAGGTCCTTATTCTCTTGAAGAAAGAACAAAAAGAAGTAAGTTGGGAGAGACAGGTTGAAAGTAGGCAATGAAGAGGCCTTGAGCTTCTTCAAGGGAATTTAGACTGTATCTTGAGAGCAAGATATATTGGGAGTGGTAGTGTGGGAACAGAACTTGCCAAGTGATGCTAAAGGGCTATTGAAGTGAAGGTGGTCACAACTAAATATGAATGGCCATAGTTAAGGCAAGAGTGGACAGAAATATGATCTAGGACAGTATGGATAGAAACGAGGGGCCAGGTGGTTGGAGGAAGAATAACTTGTAAAGATGGTGTCACTTTGACTTGGTTAACTATTTATAGGGAGAGGAGATGATTTCAAGTCTGGTTGCTGAGAAAGCAGCAGAAGTGAAGGTTCCCTAGTCTGGCAAGAGTTGACTCAAGAAGGAAAACTTGGAAACCCCCTTTGATGAGTATCCTCTGCCTGAAAGATACCTAAGATCTTGGCTAGTTTGCAGAACCTTCCACATATAGAGGCTATCAGCACAGACCCAGGAGACCTGGGTGTGAGGTTTGTTTGGAGGGATAATAAAATTTCCAAAGTGAATACAAATTGTCAAAATGAACTAGCCCTGTCCAATGTCTAGGAAACTACCCTGTTTCCAAGCTAAGTCTAGAATTCTAATCTGATCCATCCTTTCTGTTTGTCATTGCCCATCATTAACCCAGAGCATGCTAGAAATAGAGTCCCAGATCCCATCTTGTCTACTAAATCATAATCACCATGGCTAGATCCTCATAAGAAGCTTCTAGGGTGATTTTTTTAAACCAATACAGTTTTGAGTTTCCTTCAGTTTGGAAAATGATAGTAAATGATTGGCTCTTCTGACGATTGACTGCAAACTCCTGTCTTGGTTATTTCATTTGAATATACTATCTCCTCATCTAGGTGATGAGGGCACTGAACTTACACAAACTTGATGTTCCTACTTCTACAAGACAGGAAATAGAATTGTGTTGGTTCTCAATTTTCCTAATGCTTCGACCCTTTAATACAGTTCCTCACATTGTAGTGACCCCCAACCATAAAATCATTCCATTGCAATTTCATAACTGCAATTTGCCTACTATTATGAATCATAATGTAAATACCTGATACGCAGGATATCTGATAAAAATCCCCAAGGGAGCTGTGACCCACAGGTTGAGAACCACTGGCCTAAATAAAAGATCTCTGCTTCCTATGCTTGGAATGTGATCAATGAAGTTATGATGATAATTTCCGGGAAAGAAGTAGACATCTTACAGCAACCGATAAACCAAACAGCAGCCAGACAAGACATGTAGTTGAACATGAGTAAAACTTACAGATTTGGCTTCGGTGCTGTTATCAAGGAAATCTTCCCTCACAGCCAGGGAGAGTGTTGCTTGGTCCAGCTGTTACAATAAAAACAGAAAGAAAAAAAAAACAAAAACAAAAAGAAAGAATGGTATTGGCATTTGAAGTTGTTGTGTACCGTGTTAACAAGAGTCATGGGTTCATTGGCAGCCCCTGATATAGTTTGAGTTTGTGTCACCATCACAAAAATCACTTCACTTCATTCAGAACTGCATGCAAATAGACACTTTCAGAAACCTAACTTATCAGAGACCTGCCCCCTGCTTTTCTGATTGGTGCTCTCTATCTTTGAGGTTTCGCCAACACTGAACAGTACAAGGCTACTTGAGTTGGAATAGATATTAGAGATTATCTGACAAAAGCCAGAGAATTTATGATTTTCCCAAGCTCACATGGCTGAACAGAGCTCATAGCAAAATCACCTTCTGTTCCCAGATCCAATACCCACATCACTGTTGTGCTTTGCAAATGCCTATCTGGTTAGAGTGATGCATTAGTTTTCCTACATTCCCACTTCAAAAGTAATGTATCTTTTTACTCAAAAAGAATCAACTGATATTTTGGAGAAATCTTTGTGACTTTTAGAACCTTCTCTGCAAATTAAGAATAAGTGATAGACACACAAATAATAATCAGATAACTTTAATCTTAAGTATTTTATCCCCTTTTCATACATAAGATCTATATATAATTATACTTTTCTATGAAAATCCCCTTCACATGCAGCAAAGCCTACAAAAGGCCAAGTTATAGTGGTGCTATTATAAAGTTTAAGGAAATATTGGTATTTTTGAGTAAAATGCATTCAAAACATCTTTGTAGCCTGTGTGTATTGCTAATTGGCCTAAAACAACCAAGTCACAAGCCATTCTGGCTTCATCCTCCTGTAATTCCCAATCTGCTGTTGTTTCTTCCAAAAATGAAGTGAGCCAGAATAACAAAACAAAATATTTTGATTAAGATGCTTTGGCTTTCAATTAAATTTGGATCACTCAGCAACTCTTGTGAGCTCCAGTCACATAGGAAAGGAAACTATACAGATAACATCAAGAAAGTCAAAGGTTCCTCTCATGAAATGAAGTTAAACCCACAGAAGGTGAAAGTTTGGATAATTCAAGTGAGGTTACCAGACCTTTTATAAACTTCCAGATGGTTATGGTTTCTAGGGAACATTTTAAATACACCAACGAATTGAATAAGGTCAGTCAACTAAATCTTATTAGAAACACACAAACACCTGAGGCAAAGTCTTTCGCAAGAAACCCACATAAGTACATGGTATTGTTCTAGTTTTTAAAGACCTTGCATTTATGGTATGAATGTTTCAATTTCAACAGAAAAGAAAATATTCATCCCAGCACTTGAGAGGTATGTGGACTGGCATTTCAGACCAGTCTGGGCTACAAAATGAGTTACAGGGTAGTCCAGGCTACAGTTTTTTAAAAGTATGATTTTAGAAAATCAAATACATTGAATTGAAGATGTGATTTTTGTCCAATTGTAATTGGCATGTCAATTACAATAAGGTGTTTTAGGGGAGAAAGTAATAATATAAAATGAAACATCTAAAAATTATGATACAGGGGAAAACAAAACATTAGAAAAACTTTATTTCTAAGAAAATTTCTCTGATAGACATCATGAATTATGTTGAGAGCCAGAAAAATGCAGGTCATGGAACACCATTGACATTGAGTTGTCTTATACTAAGACAACCTTGGCCCTCCAAAGAGTCTTTCAAGATCACACATCCCAGTTTTCATTGTCCCTTAAATTCTTACTCTTCCTATCACCAGGCTTAAGATGAGCATAAGCACAGGCAGCAAGGTGATATTTGGAATATGCCTTTCTGTTGTTTCTTATAATTTTATCTCTCATTGAAATTCATAGCAAATCTCTATCGTCTTGACAGAGGAGAGCTTTTCCAAAGACCAATATGTGGGCCAACCTGCATACCTTGAGAATGGGACATATCTGCCCATTGAAAGGAGTGCATTTTTGTACACTCAGAGGCACCATATGCTCTACTAATGGTAAAGTGCATACATGCTCAAGGTCAAAGATTAGGCTTACTAAGGAAAATGGCTGTTTCTTACACAACCACATAACAAGCCAAACACGCATGCCAAATACTCAAACTAAAGAGAAGCACTGTTCAAATGGTCCTGGCTAGTTGATGGGCCATGTTTCAAGAGAAGAGAGCCTCTTGTCATATGCCACTGTGGGCCAATATCTACTACAGAAACTCACAAAATTCAAGGGATCCAAACCAAATAGCAACAACAAGTAAATGATAATTTAATCTTCCTTACCAACAGATAAAATGAGACTCAAAAGAGGCAAAAGAACACACATAGGATAATGAGTAACTCTCAAAGCTGAACCAAGAGCGTCAGTGTCTTCATCACCAGAGCCAACCCTTGTCATCACACAACTGTTTGTCAAACTGTGTCCCCCAAAATCTAAAATGGATTCAGGTCTACAAGTACATATTCACTTATATTTTGTATTTAACAATTAAATTTTACATGTAATTTACTTGTGTATATATGTATGTGTGTACACATGCACACATATGCCATGTGTACACGTGGAAGTCAGAGGACAACTTGCAGAGAAAAGTCCTCTCCTTCCAGCATGTGGGTGGGTTCCACGTCAACAGTCCTGTCAGGAAGTGCTTTTACCTGCTGAATTATTTCATGAGCCCCTAGAAATTTAAAACTAACAAAACAGACAAAGCAGTCACACAAGTTCTAGAACTTTGGCAGCTACCAATACATGAACTTTCTTGTCAGGTTCAATAGGTTTCATACAGATCTCAGAACAAAACTGTTCCTGCTCTCTCTAGATATGCTTAAAACTGTTTCATGACTATAAAAACTGTAGCTCTGTGTTGTTCAGGGAAGGAGGTTAAGTCAGATGTGTGAACATTCACTCACATAATTTAGTACAAATAGGGATAGAACTAAAGTCAATGCGAGCTGCCCACAAATGCCAGGCAGTGCTTTAACACTTCAGCTTGGAACAAGCTGCAATCTTGGCAAAAGAAAGCAATAATAAGTATACAAGTGCCTTCTTTCTTACATTTGGAAAATATTCTATTATTGACAATGGTTCTAGGGCCAGTGTAATTGAATATTGAGTGTGGAAGGCAAGCAATTACCATGTTCCTAAGTTTCCCTTATTTTTCTATAAATCGGCATTAATGGTAGATACTGAACTAGTTTTAAGGGGTTTGTTTTTTGTTTTGTGGTTTTGATGCAATGTCTCTGGTGATGGCATGTTACTCCTGACTGGTATCAAGAGACATACAACAATCTGTTTTTCCCATTTTCAGCAATGCTACCATTGATAGTTGAGTTCTAGAGACATTATCCCATGAATTTCCCATTCATTCACCTGACCATTTTAATAGCTATTGATGATAGTTTCTTAACTCCATTGGCTCTTTGAAGATTTAAGTAGTAGTAATCTAACCCTATATTTCTCCTAACTTACTTTTATTTTTAATTAGGTGTACGTGGGATGGAGACATATCTCAGTGTTTAAGAGCACATAGTGTTTTCTCTTGCAGAAGGCCTGAATTCAGTTCCCACGATCCATGCTGGATGGCTCAAAACCACCTACAACTCCAGCTCAAGGAATCTGAAGACTCTGGTCTACAAGGGTATCTGCTCTCACATCATCATCATCGTCGTCGTCGTCATCATCATCATCATCATCATCATCATCATCATTTTCTCTTTCTCGAACACATAATTAATAGCAAAGATAAATATTTTTAAACTTATAACTATGTTAATGTAAGTGTATATGTGTGTAGGAAGGCACCTGAGGGTGCAAATGCTCACAGAAACCAGAGAAGGCATCTAAACCTCAAGTTACAGGCACTTATGAGCCACCTGACATTGGTGCTGAGGAAAAAACTCAGGTCTTCTGCAAAAGGAGCATCTCTCGAGTTCCTCTCCTGAATTTTCAAGCTGTACTTCTCCTATAAGTGAGAACTTTGTCTCACGGGCTATTCGTTTATCCTGAAATCAATCAAATCCAGATTGTGGAGAAAATATATAGGAGAAATAATCCAGTTTCTTTGGCAAATAAACTCAATTTTAAAAACAAAAAGATGATGACTACTGTAGTTTAAATCTGACTTAGAAAGTGCAGGTTCTTAATTGTAGCTTCAATCAAAATGCAGCTCTTTCTGGTTGGGGTTTATTAAAGACACATGTGAGGGGCCAAAGGTGTAGCTTGTCAGTAGAACACTTGCTTGGCATGCATGAGGCTCTGGATTCTATCCTCACCATTACAAAAAAAATGTTTGATATAATCAGGAAAATTGAAAACCAACCGTTTATTAGATGTTCAGTATGGAATTATGATTTCATTTTGGTTGTGGTAAGAGTCTGTGACACTAGCTCAGGCAATGAAGTAGTCACAGTGAAAAGATACATTTTTAGATATGCTATAAAAATGTTCCAGCCTCCAAAAAGGAGAGGTTTAAATTAGGTAAAAATGGTACAAACTTGAGGGTATTGAAGTTGGGTTAATAAATACATAGGTGTTTATTGCTCATTTTATTTTAGTTGGTAGTTTTCTTCATGATAAACTATGAAAGAAATAAGTCAACTATTTGTCTAAGTCCAGAAATGGGTGAAAAATAAACTCATTCCTATTTGCAACGATGCATCATTGTGTGAATCCAAATCATCTAGCACTCCATGAAGGGTGTAAATTACATTTGAATGACAGTCTCTTTCTTACTTTAAAACACCATCTAAAGTATTTGGAAGAATATCATAATAGTTCTGTAATTGAGAATAATAGCCTTAAAATCTGGCTTTCAAAAACTGAGTCCTCTATCCACATAGAACAGGGGCTGATTGGATTGCAACCATCAATGTGTCTCACATAATAGCATTACAAGATGGCTCAATAACATACTGCTACTTCATCATCCAACATAGACACACAGCTGTCCCTGGAACTAGAACTTGCCTTCTGAGTAATAATTCTTTCAACAACCAAAGATTTTTCTTGACACCTATCACTGTCTACACTTAGAGGTCAGGAATCTTCTGCCTTCAGGCTAGCTCATCACATCATTATTCCCACTCATCATCTAAAACCGCTTTCCCAGGTACAATGGCAAAGCACAATAGCTGAAATCGAGACCAGATGGCTGGCAAAACCTCAAATATGTACCATCTGTCCCTTTATAGAAAACACATTGCCCACCTCTTACTTAACTCAAAAGAGAAACTCCATGGTTTTGATTTTGGAGAGGTGGCTTATGTTGGATGAGGAAATACACTAAATGGTTTTATAGTCCTACAGTTTTTATATTGATATATCATTAATATATTCTGCTTTGATGAAGGGGAGATTAAGGTAGAAATCAATGTTCAATGGCATCATTATTATTCTTGTATGGAAGAAGAAAAAACACAGCAGGGTGAATGCATAAAATGACTTGGGAAATGTTATTTGAATTCCTACAACCCTCTTTCATTGATGAATCTTTTGTGGTCTGAAACTTTCTGACAACCTCCTAATTTCACCAATGCGATACACCTCAGGGCACAGCCAACTGCTCCCTGCCTTTATGCTCATTCTCGCAGCAGAAAATGTGCTTAGAATAAGTTCTGCTTTACCTTTTGAAAGGGAGGAGGACAGGTTCAGATTGAACTTGACAATGGGGACGTAGGCGTGCACTCAAGTTGTTCCCGAGAGGGGAACAAGGAATCTGGCATGTGTTGTCCCTTCTGTCAGAGGAACTAGGAGGTGAGGGAAAGAGCAGAGTTCACAAAGTCTTCCGTCATCACAGAAGACCCAGAGACCTCTCCCAGCTGGAATTTCCATTCACAGAGAAGCCATCTGAGAGTGAGAGCATGGATCACTTGAAACCGGCTCACAGGGTTCCTGAAAGGCTGAGTTTTCTGCTAACGGTCTGCATTCTGCAAATCTTGGAGCAGGGCATAATTCTAGATCCATAATTCTAGATCAGCTGAATTTTTATTTACCTTATCATTTCACTAAGCCAGCATGAAAGCACCCAAACTGGGGACTGTAGCACACTTGGCAGAATGGTTTCCTAGCATTCATGAAGTGTAGTCTCCGGTACTGCATAAACATGGTATAGTTATACATACCTGAAATGTCAGCACTCAGGAGGTGGAGGCAGGGAACAGGAGTTTAAAGTCATCCTGGGATACACAGCAAGTTTAAGACCATCCCAGGATACTTGAGACCTTATATATAAAAAAGAAAAAGACAAGACGCCCTAAAGGGCTAATCTTAGAATGAACAGACTATACCTTCAAGATATGTTCATTGGATGCCTTGTCGTCAGGGGACACATACAAACGGATGAACACAGAATTGCTGTATTGACCACGGAATGTTGCAAGCGTTTGCAGTAGACTAAATTTTCTCTCTGACCAAACCCCTTCAGGGCCAATATTAGCTTCAAGCACAGGCCAGCGGAAAGGTGAATGCCGCAAGATGTGGAGCAGTGGTTTGGCGTCTGCTTTTTCAATTGCTTCTGAAAGAGAGGGAATACAAAGGGCAGGTTAGAATTGTAATCTAGAAGCCAGGTATGATAGTCCATGCCTCTAAGTCCTGCACTTGGGAAGAAAATGCAGAGGGATCAGAAATTCTAAGCCACCCTCAACTGCACAGTGACTTCTCAAAGCCAACTGGGCTTGGGTTGGAGAAATGGCTCAGCGGTTAAAAGCAGTAGCTGCTCTTCCAGAAGTTCTGAGTTCAATTCCCAGCAACCACATGGTAGCTCACAACTATGTGTAATGGGATCTGATTCCCTCTTGTGGTATGCCTAAAGACAGGTCACTCATATACATTAAATAAATAAATAAATAAATAAATAAATAAATGTTTGAAAAAAAAAAAGCCAATTGGGCTCCATGGGACCTTGACTCAAAACAATGAAAATGAATTGCAAACTGGATCACCAAGCTAGCATGCAAATTTATCTTCTGAAGAGAAAACTCTCATAAAGCCCTCCACTTGAAATCTCAGCTGTTAAGGAGAGGTGAGAGAAGTAGAGTAGACTGAGAATAACTCTAAGAGCATAACTACCTATCACACACGCAGCGAAACTGCTGGACGCTCTCTATAATGGAGATGAGCTTACTGCACAGACTCCAGCCAATGAATAAATTTTAGCCAGTGGTACTTATTATTGCCACCAAGGAATAACCCTAATTAACAATATGGTTCACTTAAGACAAGGATGCCCCAGTGAATAGGTGTTTCTAGCATATTAAACGATATCTCCAAATCCTAAATCAACAAACACACTCTCTGGAAGCACTTGCTTCAACTCTGGAATAGCCTTGAAAGATCACCTTGAGGCCTTTGTCTCCCAACAAGAACACTAGTTAGGAGCCTGACATGCCTGGAAATCTAAATGTCACTAGGTTCTAGTGGTTTCTAGGGAACATAATTCTCCTGTGTATATGCCCTCTCAGGCTTTTTCTTAAGCCAGAATTGGCCTAGATGTGGATTCTGATTTTTGTACCAGACACAATGGGGTTTTCCCTGCTGCCATATCCAAATTTCTTACACAGGAACTGACACCCAAATAATCCAGTCACAGAAATAAGATTTTTCTCTTGGGGCTGGGGCAATAGCTCAGTTGTTAAGAGCACAGACTCTCCTTGCAGTGAACCTGAGTTCAGTTGTCCACACTCAGGTTGGGCAGTACACAATAGCATGAGTCTCCAACTCCAAGGGATCCTACAACCTTATCTGACCTCCACCTGTACTCATGCATTAATGTGTACATACCCACCCCCACATAAATATAAACATAAATAATAAAATCAAAATGTCTTGAAAATATTATATTTCTACTACAACAGCTGCAGATTGACTAAGAAAAACTTATCAGAATCCAGTCTTTGAGAATTTTTTATTTGTCTAAACAAGACCTTTAAGCATTAGTAGAATTTTAGTTCTCTCTTCCCTAACAATACCTTTAGACATTAATAGAATTCTGAAGTATAAGGATCATAAATATTTATTTTCTTTATTACTCACTCTCATTCATGCAGGATGAATAAAGGATTTTGGCTTTCTGTACAGCTTCAATGTCCCGCCTTCGACTGACTGATTTCTCCAGAAGTGCTAGGAAGGTGAAAGTAGGATTCGTTAGTATCTGCCCGTGTATGATGTCAAATTGAAGGTCAGCCTCCAGAAAATTAAATGCAAAGACAGACAACTCTGGAAAATACAAGGCATGCAGACAGCAGGGGTGATTCCCAGCTGCTTGAGAAAATAAAAACAAACTATTTCATGCAAGGGTCTTCTAACTCAAAAGAAACCCAAAGTTCAACATCCATCTGAGACTAGGTTTTCTGGAGGGGTTAATTTCTTCTGCCACCAACACAAGAAAAAGCAGACTTCATTTATTAAAGAACCAAAAATAATTCAGTCTGTTGTTTCTGTACCAACCAATATTCTCAATGGAGGTGATTTCATCTGGGTCAAGTTTCTTATGATTTTTTTTTTCATAACTCAGTCTCTCAGGGAGGTCACCCGGAAAAAATTTCCCATTACAAGTTTTATTCAGTGTTGCATAAATATACCATGTACATGAAAATAAAAAAGTTGTCACAACAGGAAATCAAGAAAACAGGAAAGCCTACCTAAATTGCCTGGATACGTGCCCATTCACACATGTAAAGTCATGGATATGTACATCAGGCCATGTACAAAAACTGTTTGCCAGACCTCCTTGGAAAATTATTTTCTGTTTATAAAATCATTAATAAGATTATTTGAGTGAAAAAAGGTTGCTGTCTTTCAAATAAGGGAAGAAGAAAGCCAGGACTCAGTGGAAATAAACTTCTTCTAAGAGAGGGAGGGAATTGACTTGACAGTATCAATTTACCATCATGAAGACAAGTTGATGGATCCCTATGGGGACTGTAGCCCCTTTGGCACTGCCTGTTTCCACTATGTAAAACTGCTGCTGATAGGGAACACACTTGATAACCTCCAAAATCAGTGGAAAAGATGTTCCTATAGCTCTCTAAAGAGCTTCAAGGCACAATGTACAATGCTAATCAATTGGATAAAAAAATCACACATCCCCAGAAGAACTGACTTCTAAACTACAAGTTCCACATTTCAAAAACTGCAATTCAAAGATCATGTCCAGGGTTTTGTTTTATATAAGATTTATTTCTTTATTCCATGTGTCTATGTGTGTTTGTGTGTGTGTGTGTGTGTGTATGTATGTATGTATGTATGTATGTATGTATGTATGTATGTACTTGTTTGCAATTGCTAATGAAGGCCAGAAGAGGGTGACAGATGCCCTGGAGCTAGAGTTACAGGCAGTTGTGAGAAGCCCAGTGTGAGTGCTGGGAACTGAACTTGGGTCCTCTGCAAGAGCACCAAGCATTCTTCAGGGCTGAGCAGTCTCTCCAGGCCTACTTGGCATTTGTTTTTATTAGCATCTATACATAAAACAAGTCCATGACACTAGATAGATTTTAGCAAATTCAACTCTGGTTGAATGTGAACATTTTCAAATATTTGTTTGGTGCATCTTGTATATCAGCCCAGCAAGAAAGGTTGAATAACTTGCTCCAGAAATAAAGGAGGTTTGTTTTATGGATTTTTTCTTTTGCAAACCACATCCATACATACTCCATTCAATCCATCTCACATGTCTTTCTGCCACACTACTTATGTAGGTTACAGTCATTAGACTATTGGAAAGACACATTCAGAAGCAAATTTTATTTAGGGTTCTGTCTTGGTTAGGGTTTTCACTGCTGTGAAGAAACACCAGGACCATGGCAACTCTTATAAAGAAAACACTTAATTGGACTGGCTCTTTTATAGTTCCAGAGGTTCAGTCCATTATCACCATGATGGGGAGCATGGCAGTATGCAGCAAGACTTGGTGCTGGAGGAGCTGAGAGCACTACATCTTGCAAGCACAGGAAGTACACTAAACACTGGAATGGGCGACATCCTGAACATAGGAAACCTTGAAGCCCGCCTCCACAGTGACACACTTCTTCCAACAAGGTCATACATCCTAATAGTGCCACTCCCTTTTGGGGCCACTTTCTTCCAAACCACCACAGGTTCTGATGATGTACTAGTGTTTTAAACACTTTGCAGGCTGAAAACATGAGTCCTGGGGGATCAAGAAACAAGCCACAGGAGCAAAAAGAAGCACTAGTCTTTAATATTTACCCGTGTGTGTTTCCAATGTGTCCTGTAGATCACAGGAAGAAGAGGGCACACATGTGGGGAATAGATCAATCCCACAATCCTAACCAAGCACAAATACCAATAACTTGCATTGGACAAAATTCTGGCTTTTCAAACAGATTTAGCTAATGGTAGATTCTTTGTCACATCCTTTCCCTTCTCCTCTCCCCTTTCTCTCTATATCAAAGCAGGCAGAAAAGTATTGCTATGCTGACAGTGACAGTGATGTGGCAATCAGTTCCCAGCACCATTTTCTTTATCTCTGCATGTGAATTAGTGAGGAGAGGAATAATATCAAGCCTGGAAAGTCATTAATAAGCAGAAAATAATCCCATCACAGGCAATTATTCAAGTTATTAAAATGTCTCCAAAATGTGGAAAGGGCTCATAGGTCACCCATGCAGGGCTTTCCCAGAATAGCCAGTGTTGTTTAGGGGAGGAGTTTCAACCTTTCCTTGTCTTTCTTATAGAAAGTAAAAAAAAAAATCTTCTAACAGTCTACTTCAAACTTCAAAATTGGCTGGAGAAATTGTTCTCCTCAAAGTGTCTTAAAACTGTATATAGTAAGCCGCCCAGCTTACTATATGGTGGCGCAAGCCCTTAATTCCAGCACTCAGGAGGCAGACAGATCTGTGAGTTCAAGGACAGCCTGGTCTACAAAGTGAGTTCCAGGACAGAGAAGGCTACACAAAGAAACATTGTCTTGAAAAAAACAAAACCAGAAAAAAACAAAACAAAACAAAAAATGCATATGGTAAGTAGTTTTCAACTCACTAAGCTCAAATAAGACTGGTTTTAAAAAGCACAGCAGCTGGGGGGTGATGGCTCATATTTGTCACCCCAGCCCTAGCAAGGCTAAGGCAGGAGGATTCCTATGAGTTTAAGTCAGTTTGGACTAAAGAGTACGATTCTCCACTGAAAAGAAAAATGAAAGAAAAAAAAAACATGTCAAGATTGTGGGCTTCCAAAACACACAGACAAGAGCTCCAGTTTCAGTTTGCTGATAGCTCCTAGCTAGAATAGATACAAGTTATTTAATCTCTCAAATTTTGGCTTTTTCATCTGCAATTTTTGGTGTTACTATACACTCCCAGGGTTTGGTGATGATTTTCAAACTTTAATGCACTGAGAATTTCTAGCTCAGAGCCTAGGCACATGATAAAGTGAGTAGTGGCTAGGCTATGGATGTGCTTCAGTTGATATGGAAGAAGCCCTAGGTTTGATACCAGCACTGAATATATTGGGCATGGTGGCCCATGCCTCTTATTCCAGCACTCGAGAGGTGGAAATAGGAAAATGGAAACTTCAAGGTCATCCACAGGTACACAACAAGCCATCTGAGACACATGAGAGCCTATCTCTCAAAAGAAGTAAAATAAACCAGCAAAAAAGTGGTAGCTTACTCTGGATGACAGACTAAGTTAATCATATACAAAATTGGAACATTCTCAGTCTTTCAACTTTTCTCCTCCTGTTTCAGGTTTGGGTGACTATCAAGATACTTCCTCTCTGCACATTGGATTCTTGCCCAAAGGACCCGCTCCATCCACTTTACAGAGCTCTGCAGTCCTCTACACTTCCTCTGCTTCCATAACATAGGAAATGCTAGATGATGAGACCTGTCTTGTAGTCAGTAGTAATCGCAAAGCTGCTCTGCTTATGCTCCTCACCCTGGACAGCAAGGCATTTTAAAAAAAAATACAAACATTTCCAATCAAATTGTAATATGTATTCAACAGAAAAATGTCCAGATCATAATTTGAAAGGATTCCACAAATGAGACACACAGATGTAAACAAGAATGTTAACAAAATCCCAGAAGTCCTATAGTCCCTCCTTTCTTATCACTTCCCTCAAGCACTATTATACATTTTGGTGTTATATTTTTGCTTGGTTTTGTGGCCTTACACTACACAGAAGACCTTGTGTATATTGAGCAAACACTCTACTACTGAGGCTTACCTCCAAGTCGAATGTTTACTCAAATCTATTTCACAGACTTGCATAATTTAACCTTTTCTTTTGATTTATAGAAGATCCTCATATAGTTTCCACATCTCCTTTTTGAAGACTACAAAAATCTTGTCCCATTCTGTAGTTCTTATTTTCTTACTGGTATCTTGTGATGAACTGAAATTCTGAATTTTAAAGTAGTTCAATTTGTCCATTTCTCCCTGTATGATTAATACTATTTGTTATTTAAAAATCTACCCCCACATCATGACAATGACCTATACTTCATTGCTTCATATTTATACCTATAGCCCATTTATAATTTATTTTTGCCCATGGTGTGGGCAAGCAAGATTGGTCTTACTAGGTATGAATCATGAAAAGAGTTGAATAAGTAAGATATATTGGTCACTTCATCTCACATGTTATCACCAAATACATTTTGGCATGAAAAAAATGGCATTGACACTCTTGGTATGGACCCAGCTTAGCTCTTTCCCACTGACCATCTTAGCCATTCCTTCTAGCCCATCTGTATTCATTTGTATCAGCTGCCTATCCCCAGAAACACTTTCTATTTGAGACCCTCAGTATCCACACTAAGCTGTAATCAGATAGGCTATTCTCACTATTTCCTACCATCTCTTACATGTTTATCTCCAGAGTTACTCTTAGTCCTATAGCAGCCTGCTTGCAGGAGCCCTACCTCCCATCTTCCCCTAGCAATTTCTGACATACCCTCAGTCTTACCTCCTGGCCCATGTTCATTCCTTTCTGCCACCCACTGACCCACTGAAGCACTCTCTACCAAGGACCCCACAGCCACAGATCATCCACCCTACAAAGACAAGACTAGATATCAAAACCAAGAAATACCTCAAATGTTATAACTCCTGATGCCTAGGCACCAGTGAAAAAAAACACAAACATGAACAGCCAAG